AAATATACTTATTAGAATGTAATGCGAATTACATGCATTACAATATTGCAATCGTATTAGTTATGCCAATACGTAAAAATGTGCATATTTCTTGTGAAATATTTTTTGTAAAAATGAACTGAATCTGAATAATTACTAGGTGATTACTGGTGATTATCCGTTGTTATTCTGATGCTAATTAAAATAAAGTTAACTAAAAGTTTCTTCTTATTTCTCTTATTTGTGCAGGTTTTGAAGGCCAGTACTTTCTGGTGGATGTAATTTTCATGGAGCGATGCAACTACTCAACCTTTGCCCAAGCAGTAATAGGCTCCCTCCACAACAACAAACTGGATCTCAATGATGTCTGGGCAGTGGTCACAGACAATGCAGCCTACTGCCTTAAAGCATACAAGGATGTTCTGAGAGGTGTGATGCCACACACCCAGCACTTGAAGTTGAAGCTGAATAGCAGTCATTAAATGTGATTTTTTCCTATTGCATTGTTCTTTTTTCCCCCATCCACTCCATAATTAGCCAGTTTTAGGTGAATAAATATGTTTATAACGTAAAACACAAAATTCAGAAGAATAAAAATGGAAAAAATGGAATTTAGGAAAAAATAAAACAGAATTTAGGAAAAAACAAAACGGATTTCATAGGGCCCTACAGAAGGACTCAGGAGTGATTATAGCCAAAATAACAAACAAAAACCCAGCTACTGAACGCAACCCAAATCTAATGTTTTTTTTTATTATTTTTTTTTAATATTCCCTCCTCCACCCCCCCTCTGCGGAGGACTACTTTATTTGTATTTATTTTATTATTTATTTATTTATTTTACTTCCTCAAAAGAGGGAGAGGGGGGGAAAACAAATGTGAAGAAGGGGGAAAGAGAGAGAGGGAGAGAGAGGGAAAAAAAAGGAGAAAATAAAAAAACAAAACAGATAATCTACTTCCATGTCTGCTGAAAAGAGAAAGACAACATACATCTGTACTAATCAAACATTAAATGTTGTTGAACAGCACACACGACCAACATTACAACACATGCCCAGAAGCAACAGCCGATCAAGACAGTGTGTGTCCGTGAACATGTGTCCGTGAGCACCTGTGTGCACACCTGTGTGTGTCAGCGCGCTGGTGTTCCTAAGGTTTCTCCATGTAAATGCCTAGTAGTGTGTGTGGGGAGCCACAGCCCCACCCACCCAGGACATGAAGCCGACACGGAGGAGACCCGGGCCCCAGACATCCAGAGGCCCCCCAGGGCACAGGAACCCCAGGAGGACCACCGCAGGGACAATTGCAGCCCCCACCCAGAAAATGGTAAATGGTAAATGGACTGCATTTATATAGCGCTTTTCTACTCCTACGAGTACTCAAAGTGCTTTACAATACATGCCTCACATTCACCCATCCACACTCACATTCACACACCAGTGGCGAAGGCTGCCATGCAAGGCGCCAACCTGCACACCGGGAGCAATTTGGGGTTCAGTGTCTTGCTCAAGGACACTTCGATGGGGTCAGGAGGACCCGGGGCTCGAACCGGCAACCCTCTGGTTGCCAAACAATAGCACTACCTCCTGCGCCACCATCTTCCCCAAAGAGAAAAGGGCAGAGGAGCACTCCGGAGAGGGGCCATCCGGCAGCCACATCGCAGGAGCCCCAGGGGGCCGTGGCGGTGAGCCCGCAGGCTCCGCCGACGGCCGGCCACACCAGGGCAGACTGGACCCCATCCAGTCCGGGGCCCAGAGCAGCGGCACCACCGGACACCACAGAGCCCGGGGCAGCCAACCAGACCCCACCACAGAGGGAAAAACTACACCTACACCCATTCAGTCAACTCCCAGACTACATAAGACAATAGACACCCAGGTTGGGTCCATTCTCCTCTATTGGATTCCCCCCCCACCCCCGCAGTGTGGATAACCCTAAGGCAGGGACCACCTGCGGACAGATGGTAACAACCTCCCCACCAGCTAAAGAAGCCCCCAGCCCCTCCGACGCGCCAAAGGCCCCCACGCTGGGGCTGGGCCCCAGTGCATGTGCCAACCCACACCCCGCCGACACACCCCCAAAGCCAAGACGCAGTCGTTTTTAGAAACTCCCACCATGCTGTCAGAGAAGAGCTGATACTGATGCTTTTGAAGCATTCGTGTCGTTTAATGTTTGAGCTAATGAATGGTAGATCCGAAATCTCTGTTATTGCATAGTGCCTGTTCTACATCTAGCTAAGGTTCATCTAAGAGGGTATGTTTTTGCCATCCTGTTGGCTAAGAAGTAGTGGTGAAAGTTAGGCAGATCTAGTCCTCCTTTGTCCTTTGCAGCGTTTTTAAGATAATACACGGTGGTTTATCTTTATCTAACCCTAACCCTAACCGAAATCTAACTTAACTACGTGCAAGAGAAATCAAAAAACAAAAACAACAAGTACTACTCCTCACTCCCTATCCAAAACAATAGCATACACAAAACTCGTAAACAAAACGGCAACCACTCTCTATGCACCTAACAAACACACAGAACATACACAGGGCAAAGCGTTAGAATCCGAGGGGCGCGCGAAAACGTAAACCAAAAACCGGGCGGCAGATAGAAACCAGAAAGCAAACAGATCAAGGCAAAGGTACAGATAGGGGCAAAGCGAATAATCATAAACCAATAAACCGAAACTGTCAAACACAATAATCCAAACCAAAAAAAAGCAAACCAACAACAGTATGAGCAGAGCTCCCGAGGTTGGTAACCAGCGGCGTTTTCACTCCAGGCAGATGGAAGTGACGGGGTCTTGCTGTGAGACGTGGGCGGAATCCAGACAGAGAAGCAGAGCAAGGGTCAAACGGAGTGGACAAACAGCGGTGCACAACAACAAAATATGTCCTCTGCATTGAACCCATATGTGACAATGTGACATAGCAGGGGAGCAGTGCTTGGGGGCGGTACCTTGCTCAGGATACCTCAGGGGTGTCTTGCTGGTCAGGGATTCAAACCTTCAATCTTTCAGTTACAAGACTGCTTCCCTAATCATTAAGCCATCAGTACCCACTTTTTTTTTAATTTAGTGATTAATAGTGAGTGGGCATGAAAACTCATGAGCCAGAGACATAATTCAGATAGTATTTGGTCTTTATTTCAGTTTCATAAAGGTAAACTAACATAAAAACATATTAGAAAAAATGCATTACATTGTAAGAGAATGGCAAGGTTATCAATTTATTTGGTAACCTCAGTGTGGATAAGTACAGTCAGCCCTCCATATTTGTGGGTTTCACATCCATGGATTCAATTAACTGCGGATTGAAAATATTCAGAAAAAAAACATTCTGTAAAGTAAAGTAAAAAAAGTAAAACTTGAAATTGCCACGCACCTAGCACTATACTGAATCCATGTAAATGAAGTTATGTGTAGTTTTGGGTGCTGGTGAGTGTTAACACAGGGTTCATGTGTGTTAGGGTTAGGGTTATGGTGTGCGTTAGAGAGAAAATGAATTTATGTTTTATCTATTTATAATTTCTATATGGGCCATGATGGTTGCCTCTGTACTGAACATATACAGTTTTTGTTTGTCATTATTCCCTGAACAATACAGTATATTTACATATCATTTACATTGTATTAGGTATTGTAGGTGATCTAGAATTGATTTAAAGTATCCTGGAGGATGTGGGCAGGTTATATGCAAATACTACATCATTGTATATAAAGGACCTGGTCCTGGAACCAGTCCCCTGTGGATACATAACTGTACATAACTCCATCTTTGTTCCTCCTTCTGCTTAGCACTAGTTCCAGTCTGATTCCCAGTACAGGCTTTGCTCTGTACTGTAGTCGGATGCCAAGTAAGGTCTCTGTTCCTCCTCATGCTCAATATGACAACTGATATTTTTTTAATTGATCCCTGTGGGGAAATTGTCTTTTTTTTACCTCCCTCAACTTGCTCTTTGTAGAGTAAGATGCGTGTGGCACCCAGGGGTTGAGGGCCTTGCTCAGGGACCCGCAGACGTGCCGAGGCTGGGTTTGAACTAGTGACCTTCTGATTACAAGCACACAGGCTTAGCCTACTGAGCCACACACCACGCTGAAATTTTTAATTGTTATACTGCATTGATGCCCAGAAAGGTTTCTGTTCCTTACCATGTTCAGTACGATTCCCAGTAAGGTCTCTGATTTTTACATTACCTGTAAAAAGGACTTCTTACTATGTTCCAATTCTGCTAATAGAAGCTTTCCCCTACTACATCCGTGTAACATAATGGATAGGTAGATTAATGCATCTGTCTCTCACTTGCCAGGGTTCTTCATTAAAGGGTTTGTTTGACATCCATGATGGCTTATAGTGTGGATCCTCCAGGATCTGGGAGATAGAGCTGACATTGACTCAAAGGTCAGAGTCATGGGCAGATTCCAGCTTGTTTGATAAAGCACTAAGTACCGCATCAAATTTCTTGTAACGTTCCTGATGCTCTGCTCTAACCCCTGCTTGGCCCCAGAAGAGGCGAAGGGCAAACTCTGTCTGGAAGGCCTCCAAAAGCTCAGGGATTGGTTCCCAGCCTGCTAAAGAAGCAATAAAATGTCAGGCACTCAATATTTTGCAAAATAATTTGACAGTATGAAAAACTACAAATCCAACCCCAGCCACTAACACCACTGGGGGTGGGTTTTGGGCTGTTGCTTGGTTAAGGACCCACCTGTTAGCAGAGCATGAGCGTGGGCCTGGTGTTGCCTAGCATTGAGAGCGGAGTTACGGGCGGACTGTAGGATGCTGAGGAGCAGTTGGCAGCCATGTCCTGTGTGTTCACCTGCATCCTCTCCCTCCATCAGCCTGAGCAGTGGCACCAGGTGTGGCACAGAGGCAGACTCACAGTCCATGGCCACTGGCATGAAACATCAGGTAAAACAAGGGAATATTAAATATTTATTCAGGCAGTGACATTAATTGAAATGACCTGGTTAGGGAGCGTGCACTGCTACAGTGCATTGCCACACCCACACCACGAAACACCACTGGATTCCGGTTGGCAACCCCCCAGGCCAACAGGTCCTTTCTCACCCTCTGGAAATGCCTATTTGTCACAGCCAAGTGTTACGTGGGGATCCCCTTGTCCTGGGCCAGCCTCTTGGGTCCTCAGAAATGAGGATCTTGTGAACCAGATCACCCTCGGGGAATCACAGCACTTAGCCATAGTGCTGTGACTGGCACTCCCTCACAATGCAGGTAAAATGCCTAATTCAGGACTTCCTGAGAAATTGCTCATTCCGCAAAAAAATCTAACCACTGGTACCCAAGGATTCTCCAAAAAGACACAGTACTGAAGGAGTCCAGTCTTAATTTCAGGCCACTGGATAGCGACCATGTCTCACAGCCATATAGTAAGACAGGAAGCACCAGGACTCCAAGACTTGGACCTTTGTCCTCTTGCAAAGAAATTGGGAGCGCCACACACCCCCTTTCAGTGACCTCATGACCCCATGCTCTCCCAATACATCTACTGACGCCATAGGAAGAATCACCAGAGACATGAACATTGCTGCCAAGGTAAGTAAACCTCTCAGTGTGGTCAACATTCTCTCCACAGACAGACACACTGCTGATGGCTGTGCCCAAGATATCATTAAAGGCCCGGATCTTGGTTTTGATCCTGGACACTTGCAAATCAAGATACTTTGTCTCGTTGCTCAGTCTCTTGAGAGCCCCGACCAGAGCCTCCATTGACTCTGCGAAGATCACAATGTCATCAACAAGTCAAGATCAGTGAATCTTTTTTCACTAACAGATGCACAACAGCAACTGGACCCCACATCCTTACCCAGAACCTAGTGCATGCAGGCACTGAACAGAGTAGGAGCAAGAACACACCCCTGATGAATGCCAGAATCAACTGAGAAGAACACAGAGGTTCTGCCTCCACTCTGCACAGCACTCACAGTACCAGTGTACAGGCTGGCCATGAGATCCAGCAACGTCAGGGGGATCCCACAAAGTCTCAGGATGTCCCACAGGACAGGTCCATCAACTGCGTCTAACGCATTATGAAAAACGACAGACTGCAAATAATCTCTGCCAATATTCATGTTTATGCTTACTAAGAACCCTCAGTGCCCAGATGCAACTAATGTAGACTTCTTAGGCATAAAACCAAACTGCTCCAGTCACTGATAGGGGAGCAAGTGATCATGGATCATCAGCATCAAGAACTGTGGACCCAGAAATGTCCAACGTCATAGCTGGAGGATCAGCTTTAAACAGCTGCTCAAAGTAACTGGCCCAGCGGGTCACACCTGCAGCATAATCCATAAGGACTGTTCCATCACCCGCCCTGACTGTGACCCTCTGAGGAACAGACTCAGATGTGCATAATGCTTCAATTCCTCTCTAAGCAGGATGTGGGTCACTAGACAATAGATGGTGTCAGTTGCTTACAGATTCCTCTAACAAATACCTCCTTACCTGCCATCAGAGCCCTCACAGCCGTCCAATTTAGTAACTGGTATAGAACAGAATTGTCATCAAAGTAATCACTTTCGACTGCTCTCGATAATATCCAGGGTGCCCTGTGAGATGAAACACCTCCTTCTGAGAACACCAGCAACATCCACAAAACTCAGCCTCCTTCTGGGTCTTGTCATAGAAGGTTGCCCACATCACATTAGAATCAGCAATTGCACCCAAGTCTGCAAGTTCTACACAAAAACTGCATGCAGTCTCATTAGAAACAGCCTAATATTGTAGTCTGTCCTGGTCCAGCCTCATTCTCCTAGTAGGTGGTAGCCTACTGGACCTCAGCTAGATCTTCAGACTAGCAACAACAAGTTTGTGGTCAGAATTAACAAACTGGGCACTTTTGTAGACCTGCAGTACTGTAGGAGCCTCCAGCATCTGCCCATGAGGATGTGATCGATCTCCTTCACCACACCACCAGTGTTGGAGTACCAAGTCCAATGATGCAGCTTGGACCAGGATCTAGCGACCCATAGCCCCTGACCTTTTACAATGTCAAGGAACATGGAGCCACTTTCACCATGGTCGCCAGACCCATGAGGACTGACACAATCCTCATAGCCAGTCCTAACAGTGTCAGTGGTCATAACCAGAGGAGTGTCACCTCGTGGCGAACCGCAAAGTGAAGCATTTGGCACCAGGACACCCTAGGCCGCAGTTCAATGATCAGCTTTGTGGTCATGTCATCAGACTTGCGGCCGCATGTATTGGACACTCAGGTGAGGAGAGTACCAATCCAACTCCCAAATTTTTTCCCCTGCAAGTTACTGGACCCAGCACTAACTGGTATGCTCTTTGGATTTTAGTTCAGTACAATCATTTCTCAAAAACTGATTGAAAAGCTAGATTGCTATGCTTCAAAATTTCTAGATGGCCCTTTCCAGCAATGTGGTACTGGTCCTGGTCCTGAGCTGGTGCCTAATTTGGAACTGGTTTCATGCTTTTCCACTGGCTCTGGCCCAGCTCCACAGTATTGCTGGTATGCATTATATGATTAGAAATGGACACCTGGGAAACTATGGTAGATAAGAGAATGTTGGCTAGAATTTAGTCTATTATTGAAAATGTGGATCACCCACTAAAGGATGTGGTTGGACAGAAAAGCACCTTTGGCTGCAGACTGACTAGCATGAAGTGCTCCACTGAATGTCACAGGAAATCCTTCCTCCCCACAGCCATCACTCTATAACTCCTCCCAACATCACTTATCCACACAATAAGCTGTTTCCTTCTCTCCCTTACTATGTTTTTAGTGCATCTTAAATACATGACTATGATATGCAATAACTGATCTAGCTAATTTAAATTTACAGAGAACTAGTCACATAGCAAACTCATTACATAGTTGCACATAGTAGTTATTAGAAAATAACCTAGGAAACAGAAACTAGCCTGCTTGCTGCTGTCAACACTGACATGGAATACATGCCATCAGGGCTAGGACCAGTGAGCTTGGTGCTCTTACCATCTCCTTCGTTCAGAGCTTTCATGAAAGGCTTGAGTGTCTTTTCAAAAGACACTGCACTGTCAGTGTGGTTCCTTCTTAAGGCTCGCCATGTCTTCTCCAGTCTGACCACCTGTAACATGCCAAAATCAGCACAATATGTGCTACAGCAGATGAAACCGGTCAAAAAACCTGCGTGCCATTTTAATGCATGCAAGTCACGTTTAACACACAGTACCCATTTCATAGGCATAAGCAAATAAAAACAGTCCTATCTCACTTACAGCCCACCTGGCAGTCTCCAACATCTACGCATATTAACTTATAGCAAGACTGTACTGCTGTAACATACCAAAACAGATTTTCATCACCTATAATAAATGGTATGTGCTTACAATACTAATAACATCCAGGAGAGGCCCTGGTATGAGGATAAAGCTTCATCTATCATAAAAAGGTGTGATGGGGCACCTGTGGCAGATCCAGGGCCTTCATGACAGCAGAGAAAGCATAGAAGTCGTGGGCTGTGTGCCGCAGCTCCTGAGCCAGCTGGATGACCTTGTGCAACACAGCAGCTCTCTGGCCCACAGTACCGGTGCAGCCCAGGATGTCTATAGCCAACCCCAACGTCAGAAGCTGGTGCCTGCCACAGAAATAGGGTAACATCAGAAGAAGCTGGTGCCTGCCACAGAGAGAGGAGAGCCTCAGATGGAGCTGGTTCCACCACAGAGACAGGGGATGTCAGAAGGATTTGGTGCCTGCCAAAGAGAATGGGGAGCCTCAGAAGGAGCTGGTATTGCCAAAAAAGACGGTGGAGCCTCAAAAGGAGCTGATGCTTCCACAGAAAGAGGGGAGCCTCAGAATGAGCTGGTAATGCCAAAAAGAGGGTGGAGCCTCAAAAGGAGCTGATGCTGCCACAGAAAGAGGGGAGCCTCAGAAGGAGCTGGTATTGCCAAAAAGAGGGTGGAGCCTCAAAAGGAGCTGATGCTGCCACAGAAAGAGGGGAGCCTCAGAAGGAGCTGGTGATTGTCACAGAGACAAGGGAAGCGGTAGAAGAAACTGGTGCCTGCCGGAGAGAGAGAGGAGCCTCATAAGGAGCTGGTTTCTGCCACAGAGAAAGGAGATCCTCAGAAGGAGCTGGTGCCAGCCAAAGGGGAGCCTCAGAAGGAGCTAGTGCTGCCATAGAAAGAGGAGACCCTCAGAAGGAGCTGAAGCACATTTGCACTGCTCCCACAGGTGAGATGTTCTTCAGGAACAAAGATGCAGACACACTGATATACAGCCACCTTTCCAGCAGGTCCCGTCTTAGCTGGTGCCCATGTGGAAGTGTGATGAGCTCCAGGCCAGAGCTCACACCCATCAGTCTCTTTTGCTCCTCTGTCACGCCTGTGATCCGTGCTACCTGCAGAAGTAGGATGGGTACAGATACTGAGGTTGGGGGTAGAGCTGAGGTCTTTGTGACCCTCACAAGGGGGTATTCCACAAAGCAGTATTGCCTTACCATCTAACCCAGGAGATTTAAATGTAGAGTTTACTTATTCTCCCTCTTCAGAAGGATTTTCTGCTTATTCTCCCACATTCAAAAGCGATGCAAGTAGATTGATCAGTCTATCTATTCTGCAAAGTGCAAAGTGGAATTTTATGTGGGTGTGTGAATTAGGTTTATATTTCATTGTGAGGACCAAATGTCCCCACAGTGTAATAAAAACCTGTTTTTTTAAGTTGTAACCTAACCCTAACTTTTCAGGTCCCCACAAAAATGCCATCAAAAAAGTAAAAATACCAAAAGCCTTTTGTTGGTTACTTATGGTTAAGGTTAGGGCTGGGTAGGGGTTAAGTTCGTCATGTTATGATTGGAGTTTTCCCCATAGAAATGAATGGAGAGTCCCTACAAATATATAATGGCAAACCTGTGGGTGTGTGTGTTTGTACCCTGTAACATACAGGAAGTAAAGTGAAGTTAAGCATTTTTTGAAGGGAGAAACCCTTTGGAAGGTAACTGGTTTGTCTGGGGATAGGGGTGCACCTGGCAGTCGACGCTGAGGATATGCAAAGCCGTGGTCCTGGCATCACTGCGGGCAAACAGCTGCTTGAGGGCCAGCAGGACCGTGGGCTCTAAAGGCCGATTGTTGTCTGGAAGCAGCAGGGAATGGAAGTGCTCCAGGCGAAAGCAGGAGGACATCTCAAACTCTGGCCGCACAAACTGTGGCTCATTTCCTTCTGGTGGCTCCTCCCACTCCGGAGCTGTCTCAAGGAAGTTGAAGCTGGTCTCGGTGATGCGGGCTCGACTCTGCCACTTCTCCTCAGCCCGCAGGCGGTCAGCATGGCTGCGAAGCACTGTCACAGGGGCACGTGGAATAAGCTCGTCATATGGGTGGCTGGGATCCTCCTCTGTCTGGGAGGAGGTGCAGGGGAATAGGGTGGACACCCGTAGGGGCTTGGGAGGCGCCCGGGAGTGCAGCTGTCCATCAGAGCCTCGCGGGGTGGTGCCCCCTCCTGGCTGAGAGGACTGGACATGTTGAGGCATACGAGGGCTCAACAAAGGCTCACTGCCTGTCCGGAAGACAGGAGAAATGGTGGTGGGGCTGGCTTCCACAGGTACTTCAGGTGCTGCTCCTAGTCAGAGCAGAGTCAGAGACATGGATGGCAGTGAGAGGAAAGCATGCCAGACAGATCTGTGATAGATCTGTGTGTGGGTTTTTGTGTGTGTGACTCTAATATCTACCTGAGCACAGGTTGCTGTCAGACTGAGCAGACTGCAAAGATGGTCTTCTTCCTAGAATCTCAAGGTTGGCTGGGTGACTGCCACTCTTATCCTTACTCCTGGTTCAAAGACAGTAAATCACCAAGATTTTAAAATAGCAGAATATTGCTTTTTAAAATATCATCAAAATACGATATACCGCAATGTCTTGACCAGGGTCAAATGTAGACTGAAAAGACCAAATTAAAGCCTGCCTATGAATTTGCAGGCCAACCAAGGCTCATTTATGTAGTTCATAACAGTATGACCCAAATTTTGCAGTTATTTGATTGAAATATTTACTATATATAAATAACATTTACAAATATGAACTTTATGGGAAACATTGCTCCTAAAAACTCTCTTTTTAAAATAAAACTGAACAATGATATATAAAAACCACTACAAAGATATAGAATTAAATCAAATGTGTCCACTGGGCAGATGAACTGTTATTCATCTGCTTTTTTTCTAATATAATGCTCCATAACACAGTGTGCCCTAAATCTAACAACTATTTAGAAATATAGTTCAGTGAGCCTAGAAAGAATATAGTAACTATTATGAGACCAAGACTTCGACCTAAACGTTCCACTGGCAGCTGCTGTGTGGATAACTTAATATCAATCCCATTAATAAGATTTCATGAATCACAATATAAACCCAACATAAAATGCTGACTATTGAACATTTGCTCTTTAGGAAGTAAATAATTTTTTGTCAATGACATATTTTCCGACGCGCGCTCTCTGTCCGCTTGTGGGAGTGTGCTCACCTGTGTGTGCACGCACGTGTCTGTGCACGCGCACCGGGGCGGAACTCTGCCATGCGCGATACAGAGAGCAGGGGAGAATTGTAAACGCGTGACCGTGTAGAGACAAAAATGACAAGCTGTTGTGTAAATAAGATAAATAACATAATTTTTAATAATGTTTAATAAATGGCCAATGTATAGACCTGTTCTATAAGAAATGTAACCTTAAATGACTCCTGTTGTGATCTGGTGCTATATAGAAAATAAAATTAAATTAAATTAACTTGACCTTCAAGGGGGGGCAGGAGGTGCCGTTGGGGGGGCGGGACGCCCCCCTAATATAATGATAGGGGAAACACTGCTATTCCTCTTGTTGAAACCTCACCTGATGGGTTTAGTTTTGTACAGAAACCACGTGGCTCTGAGTGTGGAGGCAGCCTGGCATCTATTTTAACTCACTGTTAAAAACTGAACCCAAAATTATAGAAGATTTTATGCTTATTCAAATGGTGCCTGACCCACCTATCTATATTCTTATAGAATACAGACCACCTGGACCAGCAACACTGAATTTGGGGATCGTCTTGCTGACTTACGTAGCAACAATTACTGCCTTAGTAACAATAAAATTACAAAGACTTCAAACATGTTCAAATAACACAAATAACTGATGCAAATAGAAGGAGCACACATCCATAATGTTTTTTAACCTTCTGGGGACGAGCGCATCGTCGGCGATGTAGCGTATTTTTCGCGTATATTTCAGTTTATATCTCGCTTAAATCTTTACGAAGAATCATGAAAAAAAACGCTGACTAAACCCGTAAGTCTTGTTTTCAAAACGTCCATTGTCAGAAGTATTAAAGTTTTTTTAATTAGGTTAAATCGGCAAAAAGTAAACCATGTCACCTTATATTGAAAGAAATGTGTGATTATGCCCCAGTCAGTGAAAGTGTGTTCCCTACCCCAAGTCCCCTGAGGGTTAATTGAACAGGAGCTAAAAACTATAATAACTAAAACCAAACTGACCACTGTCCACTGGACTCAGTCCCCACCCAACTACTTTCTGTTCTGGAAAGGCCGATAACTGCCATAATGAATGCATCACTGTCCTCAAGTGATGTGCCTGACCAATTAAAAAATCATTAGCCAGACCATTACTGAAGAAACCAAGTTTGGGTTCACAGGACCTCAGCAATTACAGACCTGTCTCTAATGTACCATTTCTGTCCTGGAGTTCTGGAGAAGATCAATTTCAGTGATACTTGGGACACACAACATACTGGATAGATTCCAGTCAGGCTTCTGCCCAGGACACAGCACTAAAACTGCCTTAACTAAAGTCATAAATGACATAAAGGCAACTGTGCTAATGCTTTTGGACCTTATTGTGGCCTTTGACATGGTTGATAATTTTATTGTATTACAAAGACTTAAATTTGATGTTGAGTTGTGTGGAATGGTATTGAAGTGGTCTCAAATAATGTCACTTGTCAAATATGGAGTGCCACAGGGATCAGTTCTTGTTCCTTTATTATTTTCTCTCTACATGCTTCCTTTGTCACGCCCCGCTCCGTACGATCCTGATGTGTGCCACGCCCCCCTCATTACCTCGTGTGAATCCTCGATTATGATCACCTGTGTCCTGTTATGTCTGGCTAGTCTTTCGTATTTAGTCCATGTCTCAGTTAGTTTCCCGAGATCCGTCATTGTATTGTTACCTTGTTTGTAGTGTCAGCCTTCTAAGTCCAATAAATCCCCGTTACCTGATGTCCTGGCTGATTCGCCTGCTTCCCTGCTCGCCTCCGTTGCCGAACGCAACATAATGACGGATCTCTCCAACGCACCTCCGCATATCGATGACCAACGCATTGATCTGCTCCGCGAGGTCCTCTACTGGCTTCACCCAAAATTATAGAGGTCCGGGAGGACTCCGGATTACTGGAGTTAGCCAGCAAGAGCGGGACCCTCCTGGAAGAGATAACCCCGCTCACAGCAGTGCGCGTACTGGCGGTAGTGCGCAAGAACCTCCGGCTGCTCGTCGACGGGGTGACGGAGAAGTGGCTCCGGCCGCTCGTTCTCTCCGGGGCAACCCCGTCGCAACCACCCAGCCAAAGCCAGAGAAAGAAGAAGAGGCGCAAGGGAAAAGGACTGGAAGAGACCCCGACTGTCTCCCTGGGGGCTTGCTTTCTCCGTTATGCCTCTCTCCCCGCTGAATGTCGGGAGGAGCCCCTCCCGATACAGAAGCCAGTGGGGATCACAGCAACCGCGCAGCCGCTGTCACCAGCAGCCTGCATATTCCAGGGGGGTCACCTGGAATATGAGGAGATCAGGGCCGTCTGGGATACGGTTCCCCGGATCCCCAAGGCCCTTAAAGGGGCAGCGCCTGTACGCCCGGCACCGATCCTGGCGCCTATCGCGGACCTGCCTGATCCGGACGTGCCTGCAGCACCAGCTGCTACTGCCACCGCTCTGCCCGCGGCACCGCCTGCTGCTGCTGCCGCCGCTCTGCCCGCGGCACCGCCTGCTGCTGCTGACGCCGCTCTGCCCGCGGCACCGCCTGTTCTGTCTGACCCGCCTGCCCAGCCTTCGGTCCCTGCAGCTGTCGCCGCTCTGCCCGAGGTGCCTACTGCGGCGCCCCCTGCTGGCCACGTGAAGGCGGCGCCCGCCGAAGCGCCCCCTGCTGGCCGCACGCCCGCTCTGCCTGCGGCCCTGCCTGAGGCCGCCGTTCCTGTCCTGCCCGCGGCCCTGCCTGAGGCCGCCGTCCCTGTTCTGCCTGCGGCCCTGCCTGAGGCCGCCGCTCTGCCCGTCCAGTCCTGCTCGTCGGTCCAGCCTGCTCCGGACCCACCTGCTCCTGACCCGCCTGTTCCCGTCCTGCCCGCGGCTCCAGCTGCACCCCCTGCTGCAGCTGCCGCCGCTCTGCCTGCGGCACCGCCTGCTGTAGCTTCCGCCGCTCTGCCCCCGGCACTGCCTGCTGCAGCTGCCGCCGCTCTTTACGAGGAACCCCCCGAGGCGCCCCCTGCTGGCCGTGTGATGGCGGCGCCAGCGGAAGCGCCCCCTGCTGGCCGCGTGATGGCGGTGCCCACCGGCGCACCCCCTGCTGGCCGAGAACTGAGGGTGCCTGCTGTAGCTCCGCCCGAGGGCCTGGCTTCGCCTCTGCCTGCAGCGGAGGAAGCCGCTCTGCCCATGGCGCCCCCTGCTGGCCACATGACTGAGGTGCCTGTCGAGGTGCCCCCTACTGGCCGCACGGCCGAGGCGCCTGCCGAGGCACCCCCTCCTGATCTGCCTGTCTCGCCTGTCCTGCCGGCGCCTGATCTGCCTGTCTCGCCTGTCCTGCTGGCGTCTGGTCTGCCTGTCTCGCCTGTCCTGCCGGCGTCTGGTCTGCCTGTCTCGCCTGTCCTGCCGGCGTCTGGTCTGCCTGTCTCTCCCGTCCTGCCCGTCCAGCCCGGCTCGCCAGTCCTGTCCCCGGCTCCGGTTGCACTGCCTGCCGCTGCACCCGCGGCTCTGGCTGCCCCGCCTGCGGCCACGCCTGTGGCCTCATTAGAGGCCCTGACTCCAGTTCCCCAAGCCCTGGTCCCAGTCCCTGAGGAGGTCCCAGACATTTCAACCACCGCTCCTTCTTCCCTGGAAGGGGAGGAGCTCGAGAGGGACCCCTCGGGGACCTCCCTCATGACTCCCTCGCCCTTGCTTCGGCGAGCCCGACAACTCCCAGGACCCCGCCTTTCTGTGTCCCGTAAAGGAAGGGGACACAAACGTCGGGCCTGGGTCCCGCCCGCCCTGTCCCCTGGCTCGCCCGTGCATCCCCTGGCTGTGGCTCGGTGGCTGCCTGTGGGTCCTGCGGCACCGGTTCGGGTCTCGCCTCCGGGTCCCCCTCCGGTGCCTCGTCGCCCACCTGCGGTCCCTCCGTCGGTGCCTCGTCGGCCGCCTACGCCTTCTCCTGCCGCGGCTTCCCCCTCCTGCCTGCACCGTTGTTCCCTCCTGCTCCCTCCTCGTTTCCTTTGTCGGTCCCTCCGTCTGTCTCCTTGCCCCCTGTGTGGTCCCCTCCGGCTCCGGCCTCCCGTCCGCCTGCGGCCCCTGCGGCTGCCTTCCCTCGCCCGCCTGGGTTCCCCTGGGCTCCCCTTTGTCCTCCGTCCGTTCATGTCTGGTCTCCCTTGTCTGCTCCTCCTCCCTTCGTTCCGCCTGTCTCTGCTCCTCGTCCTTCTGTTCCTCCTTTGTTCACTCCTGGCCCCTTCGTGTTGCCTGTGGGTGTTCCCTCTGTGTCTCCCTTCTCTGTCTGCCTGTCTGCGTCTCCTGATCTTTGTCAGGTCCTGTCTTTCTGTTGGTCCTTGTTCCTGTTCTGTGTCTCTGTCCTGTTCCCGGTCCCTCGTTGATGTTTTTGCTCTTGTTTTCCAGGTCCTGTTTCCCTGGTCTTGTCTCATCCGGCGCCTCCCCTGAGGCGCGCCCGGAGTGCGCGCCTTTGTGGGGGGGGTTCTGTCACGCCCCGCTCCGTACGATCCTGATGTGTGCCACGCCCCCCTCATTACCTCGTGTGAATCCCCGATTATGATCACCTGTGTCCTGTTATGTCTGGCTAGTCTTTTGTATTTAGTCCGTGTCTCAGTTAGTTTCCCGAGATCCGTCATTGTATTGTTACCTTGTTTATAGTGTCAGCCTTCCAAGTCCAATAAATCCCCGTTACCTGACGTCCTGGCTGATTCGCCTGCTTCCCTGCTCGCCTCCGTTGCCGAACGCAACATCCTTAAGTAATATAATGAGAAAACATAATGTAAACTATCACCCCTATGCTGACAACACCCAAATATACATTTCGGTTACGACACCACATCAAGTGCAAGGGCGTGACCGGGTGGGGGGCTGGGGTGGGCAGTGCCCCCCAGGGACAAGCCCTGCTCACCCTGAGAACTGCTCTGTTTGTCCAATGAAAACTGGAGAAAAAATAATACATTTAGTGTGCCACTATTTATGAGCTCTCTCTCTCTCTTTCAGTATGTGTGTGCTGTGTCTGTAACCCCTGCTTCTCCCCCTCCTGTTCAGTGTGGACACATAGACGCCACCACACATCATGTATCTGACCAATCACATGTGGCTTGAACAGAAACAATTAGAGGAAGAAAAAAAAAAGCGGCTCCAGCTCCCAGGCAGGCTCCGATCGTTCACTTCAAAGAGCCAGTTCGTTCGCAACGCGGCCAACACATCACTACTCTGGTGTTGTCTTGTATTCTCACGGAGCCCCTCAAGACTCAGGTGGGAATAATAAAAGCCATATATCTGCAAAGTTTGCAGATAGCTTTTATTTTTTTCCCACCATAATCTTCTTCTTCAGGTTACAGAACGATTGTCAAAACTGTACTGCTTTCCAATTGGGCCATTTGTGTAGGGGCGTGTTGGTTAGTGCCTCCTCCGCTCACCTAGGAAAGCACCATGTGCAGACACAGTTTACTTTGCGCCCATACAATAAAGTTTGAACCTGCTGGCAGCCTTCTGCAATCAAATTAAAACAACTCATAAATTTGATTCTCATCTCATTCTCCAGTTCTTATACATTTTCTAATAGTCCTGTAGTTTCAGTTGAGTTTATACGTTTCATCTGAGCATTTACTTGATTTGTTAAAAATCACGTTAATTGTCAGCTATGTCGACCAGATACAGCAGGCTGCTTGTGCTTGCCTGCTAGTTACTGGATTGGCTGACAGATAGTTATATCACTAGTATAGTCACTGCAGTTGTCTTCTAAAAAGGTACACAATCATTGTGATAAAAACAGTTTTGTTAACTGGTTAGGGTAACACAAACAAACACAATGATTAGGTGGCTCATTAAAAAGCAGACGCCGTCAAACCCTGCCGCAGCAGAAGCTTCTTAGTCCAGTGTTGAGCCCAACACCGCTGCTATTAATAACAGAGCGCCTTCGCATCTACGTCAGGGACTGAAAATGTACGTCTTCCACCACAAGATTTCCATAGGCCTGATTTCATGTTTGTCAAAGTTCATGTTTTTAACAACTGTATAAAGTAATGCTATTCATACAAATCAACTCAGGTGAAAGAATTAAAAAACATACGTTTTTTAATGCTGGGTTGCCACCTCTCACGCATCTGGCGTGACATGCTTTCAGACTCGTGTGCTCAAGCAAGAAATCTCATGGCAGATATATATTATTCCATTGTAAACCTAAAATTAGCTACATCGAAAGTATTGGGGTGCTTTGCAAACCATAAAAGTATTACGAGGTAATAAAACTGTTACATAAATGTAAATGTGTGCAGACTTGTCTCTAGTTGAAAATGTCACTGCAGCCAGATGACCTAAGTTGGCAACCCAGGATTTTATTTAAAATAATAAGTAAAATGGACTGCTTTCGGTTGAAGGGGTTTGTCATTCCGTTTGCATTGTTACTCCAACAATTATAAAACAAATGAGAAGACATTAGCTATGTCACTTTTTGTACCTATCGTTTCAAAATAAGACAGCCCATAACAATTAAAAGTGTATTTAATATATCATGAAATATTTTTTTTTTATTTACATAAAGAGATAGGACATGCTGCTACTCCTAAAACTTGAAAAAAGTAATACCCTGATATAATACCATCACCGTCCAAAACTGAAAAATACCGTGATAATTACTGTTACTGTTGAAAGTAAATTTGAAATTTGAAATTGGTCAATATAATCAATATCCATATACATATTTTCACTCCCTCAAATAGAAGCCTAGCAGTCAAGACATGTTCTGGTAAATTGAGAAAAAATGGGTGGATTTTACCTTGCTGCCAAGGGGAACCAATAGAGCGGGAGAATTGTGTTTGATGTTTGAGCCTGGTTTGTTGGTGTTTTGTGACCAATCTGGATTTAGAAGTCCTTATCTGGAATTGAGAATTATGGTTTATCAACTGGTTTCTCTTTGTGCTCGGGGTCCTTGGTACCTGGTGCCAGAGTGTGATGGGAGCGCTTTGCTGGATTGCTCGAATAAAAGAGACTTTGCTCACCAACCAAGAGGTCCTGAGTTTTATTCTATGTGGCTTCACTGGAGTTATTAGAGGGGATTTATAATATTTCTACCGCAATACCACTTTTTTACAAACCGATACAGGTACGAGTATTTTTATTTGCATACTTGTTGATACCGAGTACTGATACCGATATTTATTAGATTGGGTTTCCATGAAAGTGCAATGAATTGGGAGGCAGGTTTTATTTTCTCCTTTGCAGATTATAATAAGCCTACAATAAGGCAAACCATTAACAGAAAGCTATTCCAAGCCAAAAATACACAGAAGTAGTGTCATCACATTAGACAAAATGTAAATATAAACAGAAAAAAAGAAATGAAATGTACTGTTAACACAGCCAACTTAACAAAAGTGAGCAGAACCATTACTCAGTTGGCACATTTCAATGAAACAAAGTTTTCACTCGTAATGTAATGTGGTGAAGTGTAAACGCCTCATCTATCCATTGTGCCATTAAACTGTGGAGAGACATTGGGCAGACGCTACTAGTCCATATATCAGTTGCGAAACTTTAACTTAATGCCACAAGATCATGCACCAAGGACTTAACATGATTTTTCACACCATCGTACACCTTTGGCAACATAACGTCTGTGATGTAGGGCCGATTGGGAATTTCATATCTTGGCTCCACCACGCCGAGAAGACAGCGAAATCCAACATTATCAACAACCAAAAGTGGCTGGTCATGGAGCGCAGTAAAGTGAGTAAGAGCCTCTTTTATTTTTATGGCCCGTGAGCTGTCTTTGGACATTTTCTCTTGCTTTTGTAAAACTTGAGGTAAGCTTAGTTGTTGCAGTCTTGCACTAACATTAGTGAACTCTGTGTACTTAGTCTTTACCTTTTGAGTTATTGCGTTAAAGGTAAACTGTCTTAGTCATCTTAGCCGCTTCAGTTTAGGGACAATTTGTCTTAAAATTTGATAAATTCTAATTTATCACCCAGATAATGTGCCTTCAGAGTTTGAAAAAGTGAGAGGCCTTGCACTTGTGAAAGACTGGATTTTGCCACAAGTGAAGAAGAAACACAAGCTAATCAACTAGCAGACATAAACGCATATGAATAATACAAGACAGTATACAGGCTAGATAGTCACTCTGATACCAGTTTGATAACAGCAAATATGGCTTACTAGAGTAGCTTCTTATGCTAAAACCTGGATTTGGTCACAATGAAAAAAAAGATAAGAGGCTGGAAGACAGATGGATGCACTCAGCAATGGTTCTGACATGCGGGGACTTTTGGTAGTTGCAGCTATGCAGTTAGAGATGCTCATTTTCCAGTTTTTCAGATTAAGATGATCAGCAGCACTGATCAGTGGTTATAGTTCTAATATTTCATTGTTCTCATCCTTTTCTGTCTCTTGCTCTGCCATTTTCTCTGCACTTACCCACACACATGTTATACTTCCAGTTCATACTTCCAAAGGACACAGCTGAAGAGCAGAATGTGCTTCTGTACATTTTCTGGTGTGACATACCTGAGCAAGTTACTGCTGAGGTGCAGCGTGTCCATCTGGCTGGAGGTGAAGCTCAGTCTCTTACTGGCCTCGGGACGCTGCTTCTGTGCCCTTCCTGACCTGCACAGTCTGCCTCCACGTTCACACATAGCCTCACGCTCACTGATAATGCGCAGAGGCACTGTGCGTGTGATGGGCTGGAAGATGATGGCTCCTGAAGCTTCAGAGATGGGCCTCCTGCCACCCACATGGAACCGGACCAGAGCTGGGATGTTGTCGAAGCGGTCCTGCTCAAACTGGAACAACACCCGCGAGTAGCCCTGAAACAGCATGATTTAGGATAGGGCTCAGAACGACACCTACAGTGATGCTACAGTTCACTGTGTACACTGTGTGCGAGTCCACTACAGTGGACCAGAAATAGAACCAAGACCAGAGTTGTACCTCCTTGGGCCGCAGCACCACTCGGATGATTTTAAAGTGCATGGGCTCATTCTTCCACTGACATGTCAGGACATAGTCCCCTGGGCTGCTCCAGGAGTCGCGGATCAGGAAGTCTCCATCACGTTGCAGCAGTGCCTCTGCACCCTACACAGGAGAAAGCTCAGGTCAAGGGGGAAAAACAGGCAAAATGTCAAAGTTACTGTTAGGGAAGCAGAGTGCACAGCTCAGCCAAAAAAACGGGAGCTGATTCACAGACCCAGAAGAAGGAGAAATGCAGGGTAGTATAAGATCTGTGTTCTTTTATGATACCAGTGACAGGTAACAACTGTAAGCTCAGAATCTGGGTGATGCCACTCACCTCTCGGCTGATTGGACCGTGGTACCAGGCATGGCTCCTCATGTCCTCCGTGCTCAGCTTCAGCTCCTCCTCCAGCTCCTTCTTCAGGGAATCCATCCCTCTGCTACTTCCTGATACCTGCCAATCAGGGATCCAAATCAGAGCCACGCGTCACATTCACACAGTGCAGAGTACAAGCCTACCTACATGTCATTGCATGTGCAGGAATTTAAAAAGGCATGCAGAGAAGGAGTTAATGGAATGGAATTTGTAAAAAACAAAAAAAACAAGGTCATTTTGACCTTCTGTAGACATTAACAGATTCCAGTCATAGATAATTTACTGTGTACCTTGTACTAAATATACTAAAAGTGTATATTTAAGTTATTCTCCAGAAAAAAAATGAAGGTACATCATTTTTTAAATTTCACTGGACAATGATAAAAATGATCACGTACAGTAAAAGGCCATTGACTATATGGTACATTCAATCATCTTCTGTCATCTTCAGATGCATGGGTTTACTCAGGGGCTTCTGCTAAAGAGGCATCTCAACTAACCTAGGGTGCATTTCCCTAAAGTATTGTTGCTAACCACAATACTGCACCTTCTGAGACAACTACCACATAAGGACATAGCAACCAAAAGTAGGGGGAGCATTCTCCACCACCCTGAGCACTGATGCTGCTGCTGTAGCTGCAGTAAGGATGATGCATGAAGCTAAGAACAGATGTAGCATCTAGAGATGCAACAATCAATCATCCAGGGACTGGAATTGGCCAATTTTCAGCATGTTCGGCCCGGACTGGAGACCGGCCAATCAGTCTAATATATTTCCAATACTGAACCACATGCAATAGCCTCACAGCTGCGTACACACTCACAGCCACACACTAGCATGTTGTTAGCGTGGAAGTTCTTCACTGTGAGTGAAGACGACACAAAGCTTGCAATTTGTAATACATGTAAAGCCAAAGTAAACCATGGAGGAACCACCATGAAGACGTGGGGAAACATCGGAGGTAAACTTCAAACTGATTATTAAACATATACTAGATAATCTTGAAAAGGAATAATAATTGAAATTGCAAAGCTAGCTAAGGCCTTTCCCTGTCAAAGTAAAAATGTTTTAGCAAAACTTTAACCCCTTGCGCTATAATGTCTATTCAGTATAAAGTATGAAAAAATCTGATCTTAATCTAGTTTACTAACAATGTAAGAATTGTATGTGCATAACATGCAATGTTGGTATTAATAATATTACCCTGCACCTATAATTATTTGGAAAAGTATGGTACAGTTTTATTTGCAGATTTGTAACCTATGGACTTTTTAATTTTAAGACAAGTAAAAAAAGAGAAAAAGTTCAATGTTGTGTTACCTGGTGAATTTACACATACTGAAAAATGATAAGTAACTGACATTTGTTTTGTTATTCAAATCTGTTGTACTTGCTCTTGTCTGGTAAAGTAACATTTGTCAGATAAAGTTGGCTGTTAAGCAACTCATTTTCAGTGAATTTGTTATTTGTACCTCTTTCCAGTCACAGAGCACTTTGAGAAGATCCTGTAACTTGCAATTTGGGGGATATTGTACAGTTGAACTATTTCTTTTATTATGAAAATAAAATTTTGCATTGAAGAAAAGCTGATTGTTGTTTGTATATGCTGTCAATTATAGTTCTTAGAAAGAAAACTGGAATCAGGAAAAATTGGCACTTGCCGGTTACTCTTGCAAAAAAAGTCATAAATCGGAATCAGCTAAGAGAACTGCAATTGGTGCATCTCTAGTAACGGCCTTTCAGGGCTGGATTTTACAGAAATTAAAGTAATTTCCCATCCACAAACTCAGGTGAAAGTACTTCTGAAGGCAACACACTTTTTCATTGCTTTATTCTATTATTTGCATTTTATTTAAAAAGATATATTATATTCACATTTGTTTATGCTTTCTCTAACTGTTTTTATGCACTAATTTCTTTTTGCATTTCAGAGCCTGTTCCTCTATGAATCCACTTGATGCCGTTATCCTCAGGCTTGTTTATTTCTCCAAATTTCATATTTTACTTATTTATTGTTTGTATTTATATATTTACCGTCTGTGACTAACTCCAAGCAATCTTCTTTTACCTGTTTTTGATTCCTTGCTTGTTCCTGAATGATCATATTACTTGTTCTTGAGTGTTCCTTGTTTATGATATTTGTCTGCTGGACTTTCTTATTTTTCACTAAATATTTATTACATTTGAAATACATTTATTACAGTCATTGGTTTCCATGTCTGCACTTGTTTCTCCCTCCTTTGCTTCATCATCGTAGAATATATTAGGGGGTCTCTGAACACTCAAATAGCCCAGGGGCCTCTGACTGTGTAAGGATGCTTTTCCACTGCACCAGGTATGGTTCTTTCAGTACTTTCCCTTCCGGTCAAGTACCAGTACCAAAAGCTCAAGTACCTAAAGCGCCAAACCAGCTGGGGAACTTTTTTTGGTACTTTGGTGTGGGACTTGCAACCACTTTCTTTGTTGATTGGTTATGCAAATAACCTGCCTCTGAAACACAATATAACTGCCCTCCTGAAAAATTTACGGACTCAGAAAAGAATGATAAACTATATAATGAATGCATGGGTGAATTAAGAGACCCAAGCTTTAATTGTGATCTGGTTGGACAAACCAGAAGAAGATCTGGATGGCACGACAAGATATAAAAAAGTATTTGTTCTAATATGCTAGAGCTGCATGATATTGGGGGAAAAAATCAAATATCCCACTGTGATTTTTGTTGTAGTAAACATTGTGATATTTATATAGCAAAAATGGAGTTCAAAAGAAGTACATTTCTCAAAAACCCTTCTAGGAGTGATTTAAACAGCAAGGATAAAAATGATCATGAATGGGTCTGAAAGCACCTGCAGAGCTCATGCAAAAGCAGAGGTAAACTTTAAGATGATTTCTAAAACCTATACTAGATAATCTTGAAAAACAACAATAACTAAACTTGCAACGCTTGCTAAGTTTTGTTTCTTCTCTGGCAAAGTTAAAAACGCTTTAGTTTGAAACGTTTGAAACTTAAACACCCCAAGCTATAATGTCTGGACAGTATGAATGTATGGGAAAAACTGATCTCAACCCAGCTGGCAAATATACAGAACCAAGTAGGATTTTGTCAAATAATGTAGATATAGTGGTTTAAAATACATGCATATGCTATTCAGCTTAGCTGCTGTGGTACTTCAGGACACATACTGTACAGGATAAACACGCTGCCAAGACCATAATTTTAATGTGAGATATGCTGCCTTTTTATAGCGATTTCCTTCCTGACCCATCCCATCCGTGCCCCAAACGGGTGTCCTGCGCTTTGTGTCTATCCGGATAAAGGGAAAACAGCACATGCTGTGGAAATCTGTAATGTCACACCGATGAAGACTTTTGAACTGTTCTCAGGAATACATTCTCCATCTTATCTTAACTCTGGTGTCTTATTATGGACAATGCACAAATCTGCATCGCAAAGATAATCAGCTGAATAAAGTAAATTTTACAAAAAATAAGAGGTGAAACCTAATACTGCGTTAATTAGTAAAGTCTCAATATTGAGACACTTTAGTCGTCCTTACCTACTCCAGTTCCCTGTGTTATGTGTGAAGGACAGAAGAGAAAATACGATGACTAATACTGTTTATTTTTCCTCTGTACTAATTTATCGATGTTAAAATCGAAAACTACAGAAAGGCCGGTTTACTGCTCGGGTCGTCATCTATATCACATTTTAAATTTATTTTTAATTTAATTTGTGTATATCACATACACAAAACTTACTATCCTAATATCATAATATTAAAAAAACGATCTTTTCCCAGAAAAACAAATGGTTGCTTTGACACAGTAACGTTATATTGGGCTCTTATCAAACATTTCCGTAGTTATAAGTTATTAATTAACTTTGGGCATTACAGAATATCCTTAAAGCAGCGCAGTAGCAAAGCGAACGGCCACTTACCCGTGTATTCATGGAGAAAGCACGTTCTTATCCTCTTATCATTAATCCAGAGCACCATACGTACTGAAACTCCGTCTCCTCTCCACTGTGCCTCACCTGGGCGAGTCCTCACAGGCTTTCGGAGCCCCTTCCGCAGGGAAATTCCACGGATTCCACACGGTGTCAGATCAGGCTTTCCATGTGGGAAAACTAGCCACCGACGGCTGTATATCAGGTCGTATATACACCTTGACCGTCTGCCACTTCGTATTCGCTGGGTGCAACCCTTGCCCCACCTTAGTTATTCAAACATCTGCTACTTTATCGCATACGAGATTTAATGTGGATGTAATAATTCTGTTATAAATATACTTCGGAAAAATTAACTGTCGCTCGACCGGTCCCAACCTTTTCCATGACTACCGGATGCATTACACATTTGTCAAGCAAGGTCCGGAGATAAACAGCGTACAAGTTATTGTGACACCAGCAGCTGGCACAACCCCGAGCGCCGCACCCAAAAGCGCCAGGCGTGGACAGAGGTGCGCCCCCTCTGTGTCTGTACATGCGCAATGCCGTATGGAGGGCTGAGTAAGCGATCCCGGACCGAGGTGCGCTCCCTCCGTGTCTGTATCTGCGTAATGCCGTATGGAGGGCTGAGTAAGCGATCCCGGACCGAGGTGCGCTCCCTCCGTGTCTGTATCTGCGTAATGCCGTATGGAGGGCTGAGTAAGCGATCCCGGACCGCGATGCGCTCCCTCCGTGTCTGTATTTGCGTAATGCTGTTTGGAGTGCTGAGTAGTTTAATCTGAATAGAGGTGCTTTTCCTCCGTGTCTGTATCAGGATCAGCGCCCGTCCAACCTAGCCCTTTGAATCTCCTCCCCCTTTGACCAGCAGGTGTTGCTGACCATCCTGTCCTCCGTCACTTCCTTCATTCATTCAATCTTTGTATTTTCCTTGCTCCCTGGACTGCCATGTAGCTCAGTGGACTGAGTGACTGGCTCAGACTGAAACGGTTTGTAATTATACCTTTTTGGGGACTCTCCATTCATTTCTATGGGGAAAACTCTAAGCCCAACATGACGAATTTTACACCTACCCAGCCCTAACCATAAGAAACCAAACAAAATACAGTCATACATTGGCTCACAAACCTAAATTGTATGAGAACTCAGTTTGAAACCTGAAAAGTTCACGACCTTAATCAATTTTTCCCATTTAAAATGATGTAAATACAAATAATTCGCTCGAACTTCAGAAACACTGATTTTTTTCAAGTTTTTTTGTTTTTCTGTGACCAACAATATAAACTTAAATTACAATAACCTTAAAGAGCAAAAAAGGGAGAGAGAGAGCATACGTTTACGGAAGGGAGACCAATACACAACTGAGCATAGGCTTGTTGGCAGGCTAGTCACACCAAAACTCGGAATAGAACCACAAAACATCCTCCCAAAAAGCTAAACAATTAACATTAAAAGACTGAGTAACAGTGAAAAACAATACAGTAATTTCGAAAATGTGATTTTTTTTTTATTATACTGTACGTTATTTTCATATGTCTAAAATTTTTATGTACATTTCGTGATGCTACACGTATGCCAATGAACTTCTTTGTTTGTACTGTAAACAAACAATACACAGTTGCCACTATGTGTGAATGTTTGTGAACAGGACTGTTCGTGGGTCGAGGTTTTAGCATTTTTAGATTTTTGATTGCATTCACAGATCTTTGTAAGGACCTGAAGAATGATCCCCACAGCGTAAAAATAACAGGTATGTATTACATTGTTGGGACTATTTATAAGCATAATCCACACATACGCACACACACACACATTTTTGGTCTCCCTCTACCCTCCACAGATTCCTCCAAAAAACAACTGTAAATCTGTTATGCGATAGTCTTAAGTTTGAACATGCGGTCTTTAATGACTCAACTAATTCAACTGTTGTTAAGATTGTAATATAAAATAGTGCACTAATTCTAAAATAGCACTTTTTCATTAAGCTAAATTTAAACATATGAAATATTATATAAATAACATACATTTGGTCTCAAACAAAAGACTTACAGATGGCACGTTCATTTTGTGAGCCCAGGGACTGAGCATTGTGCCTTCCCTGGGCGATACCATGGGTCTAACATCTTCCATCAACCATGCTGCCCCTATCAGCCAGACGAGGGAGCCATGGCTCTGCAGCAGAGCACGCCAGTGGGAGTGGAGGCAGCAGGGCTGGGATGAAGACTGCTCTCGCATTATGGTAGGAAGGAGCCCCTGGAGCCTTATCTTGCTGAAGTGCACCATGTGGCTTGGCACAATTAGTGGGCCAATGTGGAGATTGTGGCACACCAGGCACTGGAGGGGGAAACAGTTCACATCCTCCACAGTCTGACCCCTGTTGAACAGCAGCTATCAGAATGGGCTATGAGAGGGCAGATGGTGAGTCAGTAGAGGCAGGACAGCGATTACTCACTCCACCCAGTGCCTTACAGGAGGAGCTGGTTCTCCATGCCATTGTCAAGGCACTGTCACCAGAGCAGCTACTCCAGCATGGCTAGCTGTGGGTGCCAGCTTCACTTGCTGATGCCCTAGCGAAAGCAGAGATAGCAGCAGCATTCCTGTCCCTACCCACAACATCATTGTGAGCACCAGCCACGCTGTGCTGCCCGCTGTGAGACCACGGCAGATGTGTCACTCCGCATCTGACGCACCACGCTATCACTCTGGAGAGACAACAAATTGCACAGAATTACTCTATCCTGGCCCCTTGGCACAGCAGCCAGAAAATTTTCAGCAGGTGGCACAGTGAGGGAGTTGTTGCCCCTACTCCTGGGCCACAATGTGTACTACTAATAATGAATATTATATAGAATATACAGTACCTTTTTTTCCTTTAGATAATCCAGGCACAGTCAGGGATTGGGCCAGGCCATGCTATGACTGCAGGGTGCTCTTCTCGCACTCTACACTAGGGGGGCACATTTCACTACAGGATGCTCTTATCACACCACACACAAGGGGGACACAATATTACTACAGGGTGCTATTGTCCCACAGCACACTAGGAGGATTTCCTATCACTACTGCAGGCTTCCACTGCTTCTATGAAATTGCATTGTTTGAGTACTCATTAAGATTTAACAGTTTTACTCATTTATACTGTTCAGTGAAAATGTTCAAAAGAAAAGTATGTTCTTCAACGGCAAGGGTGGGCAATCTAATCCACAAACGGTTGCGTGTGCAGGTTTTCTCTGCAACTCCCTAATTAGATTACTAATTAGAAGACTGATTGGTTGAAGTGTCCTCACACCATATGTAGAAGCAACATCATCCAATTTTGAGGCAAGGTGTTTCTGTTTGAGGTAAGACTTCCTGTCCCCCAGCAGATGGCTCTCCCACCACAATACAAGGTGTCAAACAGCATTTTTTGCAGGGCACAGTGCAGTATAAAGCAGGAGGTGGTGAAAATCACCAAGAGAACAAAAATGAAGGAAGGAAGAAATTAATGTATTCAACAACTAATTACAAAGTTGAGTGTAATCAAAGCAATACATTTAGTTCACTGTTGTTGTTTGCTCCAAATCACAAGTGCACACAGCCACTTTCTTATGCTAAGCAATTAGAATATGAACTTTAACATTAAAAGTAGTGGAGATATACAGTACTGTGCAAATGTCTTAGGCAGTCCAAATAAATGTTTAAAGCTGTTTATCTGGGTAGCAAGTGTACTTTGGCTTAGAACAAAAAACACAATTTAACATTAGAACATGTGCAAATTAAGAGTAACGCAATAAAAACTAGTAATAATTTCTTCTGTTTTCTAAAAAGTTACTGATATCTAGTTGGAAGTTCTCCTCAGGGGCACCTCAGCCGTTCCATGATTTTGTTAAATTTCAGTTAAATAATTAAATAAATTGGTTTAAAAGTCAGTGACAGATTGACTAGCTGTATGAGGTGTGCTAGTAGCCAAGTCAAAAAATACATGGCTGCACTGGACAGTCACTGCAAATACTGGGGTGATTTTAGCAGAGGTTCTGAAATGGCTACGCTGACACACTTTGACATGCATAATATCATAGTTTTACACCAACATGAGGATAATCTAAACATCATTTTCTTTGCCTGCCTAAGACTTTTGTACAGTACTGTATCTTTATGTATGTTCATAGGCACAAGCTGTATGCAGGTCAGTTTGCCTGTTTAGCTCCTCCCCTTTGCACACTACAGCTCCCACGCTACCATATGCCTTTGCTGCAAACTTCCTGTTGGTTCTGTAACTGCAAGGCTTCTCTTTTATTAGTAAAGACATGCAAGCACCAACAGATACCCAGTGAAGTAAACTGTCTTTCTCAACCAAGCGTGGCTGCGTGGAGTAACAGTCACATGCAGAAGCATATAATCCTATAGGTGCACAAAAACAAGTACAGATCTGTAGGCAAACAGACAAACTGCTCATAACTGCGGTCAGGAAAGAGGAAGTTGAGTGTGCAGCTAAAACTTGCAGAACATCCGCCAGGCAGTGAAAGACAGACAGAGCAGAGGAGCACAGAAAGAGCACAAAGACAAGCAGTGGGAGCAACGGAGCCTCCTTTTGACCCGAGATGGACCTGTGGAGGCAGTGTGCAGCGTGGCTCATTCAGTGCCGGGTCCTGCCTGAAAAGCACCGGGTCACCTGTGACAGTGCCCAGGTGTGCGAGCTGGTCCACGCACTGCGGGATGGTGTTCTCCTCTGTCAACTGCTCAACAACTTGCGTCCGCTGTCCATCAACCTGAGGGACATCAATCTGCGACCACAAATGTCACAGGTGAGCTACTTCACCCATTTCCAGCCTGTCCGTGTCACATCTATGTGTCACATTGTGTGCATCCATTATTACACACAGCCTCCTTCATTTACGCTCACAGGCTCTAGCCCAATTATACTGTGTGATTATACTTCTATAAACGGGCATGAGTCCATCCTGAGAGCTGGGTTAGCAGCCTCTTGATTATCCTCTGTTGCTATATAACCCACACTGCATAAAATGTAAATTAAAACAGAATGGCACTATTTTGCAAACATAGATATTTAAGGTCATACTATCACATCCAATTACAGCTTCCCCTCCAGATTCACAAATTTGGCATTCACAGTTTCGATCATTCTTGAGTTGGCCGAGAACAACTAAATGGGAAGATTTTTGTCAAAAATTTGCACAGTGGCATCTATACATCTTGGCTTTGGCATGCCATGCATCTCAGCAGCCAGCCTCACTCACGTGTTAGTTGTCTTTGTGACTGTGAAATCTAGCATTTCTCATAGTAGGTTTAATCTTTTTCAGTGCCATTAATTTTGCATTTATAGTAATGGGCCCAAGTATTGTTTGCAAATTTTCACATTTGCTAGGATCTTCCACTCCAACCCTTGCAATGCGAAGGGGTAACTGTATACACAAATAGGCATGCACTCTTGCAAACATAGGTGCATGGCTGGTGTGTGGTGTAACAGGCATGTGGGAAGGCTTGTAGGTAGCTGATGTGTTGGTGTTTGGTAAATGTGCCAGTTTCATGTGTGTGGGCCAGTGACTGTGTATTAGTACTAGGTATTGGACAGGCAGGAGTTCTGTGGAGATGTATAAGATGTATAAGATTTGAGCCCTGCCCTGTATGTCTTTGTCACATTCAATAGCATTTTATGAGGCCTTGGCTCATTCAAATGTAATGTTTTGGCAGCCATGTTCATATCCTGTACAGCCCGAAGCCATATATGAGACATTCATGCATCTCCTATTTGACTGATCCTTGCAGCTACATATATTTGTACAGGAATCTGTATTCTTGCAATATTTATTACAATAGCAAACAGCCTATGTTATAAAAAAAAACAAATAATTAAACAAATAATTTAACACAGGATCAAAGTATTTCAAAGGATCAAAGATTCAAGAATAAAGATCGAATAATGTGATTTGTTGTTTTTTTTCGGAGTAGTTATGCTTTCTATGAAATGTGTGCATAAATATGGTGATACCATAGTGTTTAACAAATAATACCAATGTGATGGTCATTGTCATACATACATATATATAACCATATCAATTGCTTAAGCAGGCTGTATATAAAGCTCAGTATGCTGATTACCTTCCTTGTAGTGACATTCAGTGACTTGTATCTAAATCTCGGTATGCTGATTGGATTCCTTGTTGTGACATTCAGTGACTTGTATCTAAATCTTGGTATGCTGATTGGATTCCAGTCTGTATCAGGGTCTGACTCTGGCAGACTATAACTGCAACAGCATGGATATCTTGCGTCCAGTCAGACTGTTGGACTCACTCATGGTCAAGGTTCATGACAACATGGAGATAGAGGAGATTAAAATGCCTTTTAGGGAGATAGTGTGCACACCACAAGTGGGGAGGGGGGAGAATGAAGAACAGAGAGGTCGAGAGAGCTGGGTGACCATAGGTCAGAGAAGTAAGAAAGGGTGTACACACTTTTCAGGTGCTTCCAGCTTTAGAGCTGGATGAGACTGGGGAGGCAGATTGGCCCATGGACACTGAGGAGCCCCCTCCCCCCAGGAAGATGGAGGTTGTGGTAGTGGGGGATTCAATTATTAGAGGTATAGAAAGTTATGTGTTATGTGATAGAGGGTTCTGTACGGTATCTTACCTGCCTGGTGCGCAGGTAGGGAACCTTCTGTGCACAGGCTTTTGGCCCCAGCTGGAGTGGATCCAGTAGTCGTCATGCATGTTGGCATCAACAACATAGGCAAGAGTAGGAGGGCTGTTCTGCAGGACCTTCTGGAACAGGTGGGACCTGTTCAAGCCAGATGAGTTGCATCTGAACTGGAGGGAACTAGTGTATTGGGGAGGCATATGTGTAGAGTATTTGAGGAGTGTGTAAACTAAGGACTGGTGGGGGCAGGGAGGTTAGTTAAGAATGTAGGAGGGGGAAGGTGGAAAGCCCCAAATAATTATGAAAGTGGGCACTGTAAAAGGCCTACTCTTTGCTGTGTGCAAACACAAGGAGTAGTAGAAACAAAATTCATGACTTAAAGGCTTTTATTTCATAAGGCTCTTATAATAATAATCAATACTTTCATTGGGGAAATTATCTTCACACCTCCCTCAACTTGCTCTTTGTACAGTAAGGTCTCCACAAAGGGCAGCCACCCATAGCAGGGAGCTGGGAGTTAAGGGTCTTGCTCAAGGACCCACAGACATGCTGAGGCTGGGTTTGAACCAGCAACCTTGTGAATACAGGCACACAGGCTTAGCCCACTGAGCCACACACAGCCCCTAACACTAGATCAGTAACAGAAACATGGTTGAGTGACAATGATGGAGAAGAATATATTAATGGTTACACGTTGTTTTGTGGAGACTGAATGGGGAGGTGGTGTTGCAGCATATGTAAAAGAAAACTTGCAGGCAAGGGATCTCACTGATAAAAAAAAAACTAGTTGCTAAAATCACAAATGCTAAAAACTCAAGTTGGTGTTTGCTATAGAGCACCTAATGTAGTTGCAGAGGAAAGCAAAATGTTATACGACGAGATCAGGATTATGAGCAATAAAAATGATGTTGTAGTTATGGGTGATTTTAATTTACCTGGGATACAGTGGGACATCTCTGGCTCTACTAAATGAGATGGTACAGGATTGCTTTTCTACTTAGTTTGTTAAAACCCCTAACAGGGGAGAAGCCATTCACGATCTTGTTTTCTCTAATAACCAGGATAGGATGGAAAACTTAAGGTTTTAGGTCCACTTGATAATAGTGATCATAACATGGTTAAATTTGAGGTTAATTTTTGTGTCTGAAGAGCAAAGTCAAAAACAAAAGTATACAATGTTAGGAAGGCTAACTTTAACAGTATGAAACTGAAACTAGAAATTGTAAACTGGGTGGAGTTAAAAACAAAATTGTTGAAGAGGCATGGGAATTTTTAAAAAGCACATTATTGCAAGTGCAAGAGGACTTCATACCTGTTTCCAGCAAAACTAAACCTAGGAAACTGTAACCAAGGTGGTTTACTATGGAAATTAAGACTATAGTCAGGAGGAAAAAAGCTCTGTTCCACAAATGGAAAATAACTTATGATGTCAAAATAAAGCAGGAGTCTAAAGGTTGAGTTAAAAAATAATATTAGACTCGCTAAGAGGAATGTCGAAAGGAAAGTTACATTAAAGGCTGAGTAACATTAAAAGATTCTTCCAATATTTTAACTCCAAAAGAGCTCTAAAAGCTGAAATCACTAATCTGTTGGATAGTAAGGATCTTACAACTGAAAATTAAACTGATATAGTTAATGAGTTTAATGATTGTTTTGCATGGGTATTCATTACAGAGGACACAAGTAACATACCGACTCATTAATAATCCAGTGTTGTCCATGACCAATATAGATATACCTGAAGCTGGTTCTAAATAAATAAATAAATAAATTGCAGGGCCCTGATGGCATCTTACCTATAGTTTTAAAAGAGATGAGGGATATTATTAGCCAACCTTTAACTTTACTATTTCAGAAATTGTTATCTGCGGGTGTGGTTCCTTCTGACTGGAAGCATGGTATTATAACGCCCATATTCAAAAAAGGGGATAGAAGTAATCCATCAAACTATAGGCCAATTAGCTTAACTTGCATAGCTGGAAAAGTAATGGAAGCTATAATTCCAAGTGAAAATGGTACATTACCTGGATTCAAATAACATTCTGAGGGATAGCCAACATGGATTTTGGAGAGGTAGATCCTGTTTAATCTACTTCAGTTCTTTGAGGAAGCTATAAGACAAATTGACCACAAAAAGGCCTACGATGTGATCATGATTTTCTAAGATTTCCAGATACCTTTTGATGTTGCCCCCCACAAGCAGCAGGGATTTTAGGAACTGTAGCAGCTTGGATTTAAAGCTGCTTAACAGACAAGAAGCAGCAGGTAGTTATTAGAGGCACAATGTCACAGTGGGCCGGCGTTCATAGTGGGGGTACCGCAGGGTTCAATTATAGGACCACTGTTATTCCTAATTTACATTAATGATATTGACACCAATGAATAGAGTAAACTGGTTTAATTTGCAGATGAGGCTATAGTGCGGTCTTGATTTAATTAGTGACTGGGCTGATACCTGACAGATGAAATTTAATTGAGACAAATGTAAAGTAATCCATGCAGGGAGTGGAAATATAAAGTACAGTTATTTTATGGGTTCCACTAAAATAAAGGTAGCTAATTATGAGAATGACCTCGGTGTGTATGTTGATGCTTCCATGTCCCACTCTTGCCAGTGTGGGGAAGCAATTAAAAAGGCCAATAGGATGTTGGGTTACATCTCTAGGTGTGTGTAATTTAAGTCAAGGGAGGTGATGCTAAGGTTATACAATTCCTTGGTAAGACCCCACCCAGAATATTGTGTGCAGTTTTGGTCACCTAATCCTTAAAAAGGACATTGCTGCCTTAGAAAGGGTTCAACGTAGGGCTACAAGAATGATTCCTGGTCTTAGAGAAATGTCCTAGGAGGAGAGGTTAGCTGGGCTGAATCTGTTCAGCCTCGAGCAAAGGAGACTAAGAGGGGACATGATCCAGGTATGTAAGATTCTAACAGGTCTGGATGCTGTTCAACCAAATAGTTACTTCAATATTAGTTCAAATACAAGAACTCAAGGCCATAGGTGGAAATTAGCGGGAGAATATTTTAAACTGGATTTGAGAAAGCTTTTCTTTACACAGCATGTACTGTAGTTAGAGTATGGAATAGTCTTCCTGTTAGTGTAGTGCAAGCTAAAACCTCGGGTTCCTTTAAATCAGAGCTAGATAAGAT